ACCTCTCGAAATGCTGGGATTACAAGTGTGAGCCACCACATCTGGCCTAGAGACAATATTTTATTTTATTTTATTTTATTTATTTATTTATTTTGAGACAGAGTCTCGCTCTGTTGCTCAGGCTGGGGTGCAGTGGCCGGATCTCAGCTCACTGCAAGCTCCGCCTCCCGGGTTTAGGCCATTCTCCTGCCTCAGCCTCCTGAGTAGCTGGGACTACAGGTGCCCGCCACCTCGCCCGGCTAGTTTTTTGTATTTTTTAGTAGAGACGGGGTTTCACCGTGTTAGCCAGGATGGTCTCGATCTCCCGACCTCGTGATCCGCCCGTCTCGGCCTCCCAAAGTGCTGGGATTACAGGCTTGAGCCACCGTGCCCGGCCGAGACAATATTTTATCTAAAAAAAGCAAGTGAAGCCTGGGCAACATGGTGGAACCCCATCTCTACAAAAAAATACAAAAATCAGCCAAGAGCGGTGGCTCACGCCTATAATCCCAGCATTTTGGGAGGCTGAGGTGGGCAAATCACCTGAGGTCGAGAGTTTAAGACCAGCCTGACCAACATTGAGAAACCCCATCTCTACTAAAAATACAAAATTAGCTGGGCATGGTGGCACATGCCTGTAATTCCAGCTGCTAGGGTGGCTGAGGCAGGAGAATCGCTTGAAACCAGGAGATGGAGGTTGCAGTGAGCCAAGATCACGCCATTGCACTCCAGCCTGGGCAATAAGAGCAAAACTGCATCTCAAAAAAAAAAAAAAAAAACATCCAGGCGTGGTGGCTAATGTGGTGGTGCCTATGGTCCCAGCTACTCAGGAGGCTGAAGTAGGAGGATCTCTTGAGCCTAGGAGGTGGAGGCCACTGTGAACCGTAATCACACCACTGCACTCCAGCCTGGTCAAGAGAGCGAGACCCTGTCTCAAAAAAATAAATACATGGCCAGGCGTAGTGGCTCACACCTGTAATCCCAGCACTTTGGGAGGCTGAGGTGGGCAACCACCTGAGGTCAGGAGTTCGAGACCAGCCTGGCCAACATGGTGAAACCCCATCTCTACTAAAAATACAAAAAAATTAGCCAGGCGTGGTGGCAGAAGCCTGTAATCCCAGCTACTTGGGAGGCTGAAGCAGGAGAATTGCTTGAACCCGGGAGGCAGAGGTTGCAGTGAGCTGAGATCATGCCACTGCACTCCAGCTTGGGCAACAAGAATGAGATTCTGTCTCAAAAAAAGAATAAATAAATAATAAATAAATAAATACATAAGTAAATAAAAATAAAAGAAGTAAGCAATAGTGAGGAATCTAAGGCACAGAAGCATGTCTTTGAGAGACATATTTCAGGCATCAGGACCTTTTAGGACCTTTCTAATCACTGTACTGAAGCACAGGCTGGTATGGTATTAATTTGTAACTTATTTACTTTTTTTTTTTTAGTCAGAGTCATGCCCAGGCTGGAAGTGCAATGGCACAATCATGGCTCACTGCCACCTCAACCTCTCAGGCTTAACCAATCCTCCCACCTCAGCCTCCTGAGTAGCTGGGACTACAGGCAAGCGCTACCACACCGAGCTAATTTTTGTATTTTTTATGGAGATGTGGTTCTGTCATGTTGTCCAGCCTGATCTCAAACTTCTGAGCACAAGCGATCCTCCTGCCTCAGCCTCCCACAGTGCTGGGATGACAGGCATGAGCCACTGTGCCAAGCCAGATCCTGTTCTTGAGGAGCTTCCATCCCAGTTGGGAGGGATCAGACATACACATAAAGTTAAAAAATAAATAACTGCATATCAATATCAGGCAATAGTACCAGAGTGCAGCATTGAGCTTTTCAGAAGAAAGAGACATCATGGTTCCCAAAAGTATCATGAGGGTACCGTGGGGGCCCATGGGGTTGAGGGAGTCCATAAAAACATCCAAAAGTGTTGGAGGGAAAGTTCATTGCCCTCCTTTCAGAGCTCCCAAATTCAAGTCTGGATACTGATCTTTTCCTGAACACCAAAGAGAACGATTATTATTTGAAAGCATTCATGGCAGACCAATGAGTAAACATTTCAGCTGAGAGAGAACTTTGGCTAATAATTAAGCATTATTTTTTCTGTACTTTAGATTCCCATGCAAGTCTATTTTTAGCAACTTGTAATAATTTGACATTAAACTACAACATTTCAGTAATTTGTGATGTAATCGCTAACATGTATGCATTAACTCACTTAATGCTCTTGCCAATTCTAAAGTTTATGTCAAAACTTTAAATGTTTATTGCTGCATTAAACTATAGCACTTAATAACTTCTGATTGATTCCAAAAGAAGTTTGTAATTGAGGGCTCGTCTTTTTTGTTTTCGCTTTTTTTTAAATGAGACAGAGTGTCTCTCTGCACCTAGGTTGGAGTGCAGTAGCGTTATCTTGGCTCACTGCAACCTCTGCCTCCCGGGTTCAAGTGATTCTAGTGCCTCAGCCTCCTTAGTAGCTGGGACTACAGGTGCACGCCACTATGCCTGACTGCTTTTTGCATTTTTAGTAGAGACAGGTTTCTACCATGTTGGCCAGACTGGTCTGGAACTCCTGGCCTCAAGTGATCCTCCCACCTTAGCCTCCCAAAGTGCTGGGATTAGAGGTGTGAGTCAAGGGCTCATCTTTATAATTCATTCAATGGTTTGGGAAAAAAATGATTTTTAAAAAAATGCATTGCCAGGCGCTGTGGCTCACATCTGTAATCCCAGCACTTTGGGAGGCCGAGGTGGATGGATCACGAGGTCAGGAGATCGAGACCATCCTGGCTAACATGGTGAAATGCTGTCTCTACTAAAAATAAAAAACTTAAAAAAAAATTAGCCGGGCGCGGTGGCAGATGCCTGTAGTCCCAGCTACTCGGGAGGCTGAGGCAGGAGAATGGTGTGAATCCAGGAGGCGGAGCTTGCAGTGAGCTGAGATCACACCATTGTACTCCAGCTTGGGTGACAGAGAGACTCTGTGTCAAAAAAAAAAGAAAAAAAAAATGCATTAAAGTTCTGATCTCATGCTGTGCCCTGAGATTAAGTTCCTATGAATTGAAGAACTACTGCAAATAATAACATCATTAAAAAATCTAGAGGGTCCACAGTGGCTCATACCTATAATCCTAGAACTTTGGGAGGCTGAGGTGAGAGGCCTTGGATCACTTGAGCCCAGGAGTTCAAGACCAACCTGGGCAACATGGTGAGACCCTGTCTCTACAAAAGAAAAATAAATTTACAAAAACTAAATGGGTGTGGTGGCACATACCTGTAGCCTCAGCTACTTGGGAGGCTGAGGTGGGAGGATCTCCTTAACTTGGGAGATCGAGGCTGCAATGAGCCATGATTGTGCCATTGTACTTCAGCTTGGGTGATAGAGTGAGACCCTGTCTCAAAAAAAAAAAAGTTGATTAAAAAAAATCACTAAGATGGCCGGGCGCGGTGGCTCAAGCCTGTAATCCCAGCACTTTGGGAGGCCGAGACAGGCGGATCACAAGGTCAGGAGATCGAGACCATCCTGGCTAACACGGTGAAACCCCGTCTCTACTAAAAAATACAAAAAACTAGCCGGGCGAGGTGGCGGGCGCCTGTAGTCCCAGCTACTGGGGAGGCTGAGGCAGGAGAATGGCGTGAATCCGGGAGGCGGAGTTTGCAGTGAACTGAGATCCGGCCACTGCACTCCAGCCCCGGCGAGAGAGCAAGACTCCGTCTCCAAAAAAAAAAAAAAAAAGAAAATAGGAGGAACCCGAAATTTGTGCAGGCAGATGGAGAGGTGGAGCAGTTCCAAAGGTTCTTAGCATCCAGCGTGTGGCTGCAGCAGAGGACTGCAGAAGTGGACAGCAGGTAACCACAAATCGGTTCCAAATCTGAGCAGCCAGGAGGCCAGGTTGGTTTGGCTGGATGTGTTGTCCACATGGATGTTGATGTCTTGTCTCTCCTGAATCAGTCAGGATTCGATCAGAGAAGCAGAGCCATTAGGAAGGACAGAGGATAAAGGACTTATAGAGGGATGATATAGAATCACTCCATTGTGGGAACTGGTGGAGAACAAGACGGCTGCCTCTGTATATAGTGTTTAGCCTAAAGTCGCTGTGGCCTCACTGGCATTGGAAAAGAAAGCTGGACTTGAATAAGAGTGAGGACACATGGAAACTCACGAGGACAACCAGAACCCAGGTCTGCTTCTCCCCACATTGAACCTACATGCTAGGAGTACTGACGAAGTTCTGACCGGGCTAGAGGAGCTGTGGTCCAGACACAGCCTCATGCCGGTGAACTAAGCATCACTGGAACAAGGCATGGGAGCTGCCTCAGTGCCTGCTGCCTGCACTTTATCTTCAGAGCAGTAAAAAAGAAAAAACCTGCTGTTTCCTACACCTTCCAAACACTGAAAATTTCTCTTGTAGCCAACACTAACCCAGAATATACAGGGACAGGAATTCTGGGAAATGTTCCAGCTCAGCTAAGTTGACACAGAAGAAAGCCACCGCACTTCTTCAACACCAAGCACAGTGCCTATGAACAGACCCTATACATAGGGCACTTAATAAATTGTGGGGGGTTTTCCATCAAAGGTACCTTTGTCTTGAAGGTCAAAACAAACTACGAATATCTGCAACAACACGGAAGAACCTCAGAGCATTATGCTAAGTAATAAAAGCCATATACAAAAGAGTACATACTGTATTAGTCCATTGATACAGAATTCTAAAACAAGCAAAGCTAATCTGTGGTGACAGAAATCAGAACAATGTTGCCTGGGACAGGGACAGAGTTGGGAGTCCCCTCCCTTGGGAAAAGGCATGAGGAAATCTTTAGGAGGTGACGAAATGTTCTATATTTTGATAGAGGTGTGGGCTACACACGTGTATGCCTTTGTCAACACTCTCTGTACCTCTAAGAGCTGTGCATTTTATTGCATGTAAATTATTATTATTTTTATTTTTATTTGAGACTTGGGTTTCACTATGTTTCCCAGCCTGGACCCAAATTCCTGGCTTCAAACTATTCTCCAGCCTTGCCTCCCAAAGTGATAGGATTACAGGTGTGAGCCACTGTGTTCAGCCCACTGTAGTTAAATATCTCCATTACAAAAACAAACAAACAAACAAAACAAAATTAAAGAAAAGTGGTGCCCTCAGAGCTAATTACAGATTAATTAAACAACCAAGAAAAACCTTACATCTGCCTAGCTGGCCATTTTTAAAACTGGCCTCATAATGAGTATTTTCGCTCTATAATTGGGAAAGCATCGCCAGGAGTCTCAGAAGAACCGGCAATACCAAGATTCCTCTCCATCAGCCACAAGAGAAATCAGAGAGAAACAGAAGCAGTTAGGAGACAAAGGTAAAACTCCTAATAAAAAGACAAGGCAAATAAACTCAACACTGAACTATAGAACTAGAATTTTTATTCCTTTTTTTTCCCAAAAATTTAAATTAACAGTCTGTTCAACAGAGATTTGGTTTCTAAACTGCATCTAGCTCTCACTGTACCCACGTGTGTGACAGAAAGAGAGAGAAAGAGTCACAAACATTCCAAACACTGGAAATCATCATAAATGGCAAGCTAGGGGAAGTAGTTTCACTGTACCCAGAAGAAATGGATTCCACAGCCATGCAGGGACCTGAATCTCTGTCCGGCTTTCACCTTGTCTTCTAGACTGGCCTCATTATCATGACATTTGCATTTTTTTTTTTAAAGAACATCAAAGAACAAAAGTTATCTCCCTTCTCACCACTGGCCGTTAGGTGATACCCATTTATCAGGGAGCATACTTTTCTATAATGAATTTATTTCAGCATAGGGACAGCAACTTAAGACATAAATGCTAAGATGGAGGCAGAAAGGAAAGAGGTTCGCCCGGAGATCCAAAGGAGAAGTGGGAGGGGACACTCTGAAAGGCAGGGAAGAACCCCGAAAGGAGGGGCTGGGGGCTCAAGCTGGTTGTGAAAGCCTTTCCCCTTTACGCTTTGCTCTCAGTGTGGCGGGCAGATTGGACGAGCAGGTGCCCTTAGAGGTCCTCACAGGCACCTTTGCTTACTTAGTCCTTTTACAACTTGGATTAATGTTTAACTTCCTTTGGGGAAAGATTAAAAAACAAAGGCAGAAACTCAGACCTCGGTAGCAGTGGCATCCTCACCCCAGGGCTAGACTCTACAGCTCCTGCTCTTTGTCCCCAAGTCTCCTCCCCTCTCCTTTGTCTCCAGGCCCCAGGGGAAGGCTAGAGATGATCACGTGACCGGGATGGGGCTGTGTTCCTGGCAGTCCCCTGGGCTTCCTGCAGGGACCTGGATTTCTAGTATTTCAGGCTGCTGTCCCGTTTTTTTTTTCATTTCCTTTTTGTTTTGTTGTTGATGGGACCACATGTCCACAACACTGGGATTCCCTCACCCTCAGAGTCTAGAATCCAATTTCTTGGATTTCAGTGTTTTTAAGGTCAGTGGAAACTTTTTTAAAAAGCAACATTAAGCTAATATATTCTTACTGCAGAAAAGGAGCTTTGTTCTATTTATCTCTAAAACTGATGCTCACTAGTAGTTCTCAGATGTGGAAAGATATGTGTATTATTTATTTATAGGAAATGCTGGCTGGGCGTGGTGGCTCACACCTGTAATCCCAGCACTTTGGGAGGCCGATGTGGGTGGATCAGTTTGAGACCAGCCTGGCCGACATGGCAAAACCCCGTCTCTAATAAAAATACAAAAATTAGCTGGGCGTGGTGGTGAGCACCTGTAATCCCAGCTACTCCGGAGGATGAGGCTGGAGAATCACTTAAACACGGGAGGCGGAGGCTGCAGGGAGAATCACTTGAACCCGGGAGGCGGAGGCTGCAGTGGGCCAAGATTGTGCCATTGCACTCCAGCCTGGGCGATGAGAGCGAAACTCTGTCTCAAAAATATATATATATATATATATATAGGAAATCCACTAGATTGAGGCTCTTGGAAAAACAATCCATCACTAAGGATCCTTCCCTTCCTTTTCTCCATTAATACCACCTTTGTAAAGATTCCCTCCAGTACCATTCCAAATAACTGAAGTGCAGATAATTATTTCCCAGAAAGTTGTTTTTACGCGGGTGAAATTCCATGGCAAACATTTTATTAACACTCTCCTTCCTTTCCTACCTGAGGTACTAAAACTTGGAGTCAGCCTGGGTAATATTTTACAGGAAAATGCTCTTCATCACTATACACCTGTGCTTACCATGGTACCTGGGGTATCTAGTAGGTGCCAGATAAATATATATGTACATATATATATATGGATATATATATGTTCAGATATATATATAGTTTTTAAAAATTTATTTTTTATTTTTTATTTTTTATTTCCAAGACGGAGTCTTGCTTTGTCACCCAGGCTGGCATGCAGTGGTGTGATCTTGGCTCACTGCAACCTCCGCCTCCTGGTTCAAGCAATTCTCCCTCAGCCTCCCAAATAGCTGGGATTACAGGTGTGCACCACCATGCCCAGCTAAGTTTTGTGTTGTTAGTAGAGACAGGGTTTCACCATGATGGCCAGGCTGGTCTCAAACTCCCGACCTCAGGTGATTTGTCCACCTCAGCCTCCAAAAGTGCTGGGATTACAGGCATGAGCACTGCACCTGGCCACAGACAAATATTTACTGAAGGAATTAATGAAGAAGGGTCTGGGAGAAAAGAAGAAAGCGGAGATTTCTGAAATGGAAGAATTTTCCCTAGAATTATCCAGAACTGACTGTGTAATAAAAGTACACCTTTTCCTTCTTTGCTTAGCTAAGTATTGGGGAAACATTTAAAATTATTAAAAATAGAGGGAGTTTTGGGAGCCTGAAAATTCTTTAGACCCCAAAACTGCTGGGATCCTAGACCTTAAGATTCCAAAGAAGAGATGTTCTTAGACTTGATCCTGCCTACTCACAGGCTCAGAGTGGACATGGCTACTGGCTTATCTTATATCTAGAAGAATTAAGTGATTGCAGTATGCTCAGCTTAAAAAGTTGTCACGAACCTGGGGATAGAGTAGAGGGGGTTGGTGTTTAGAATATCCTAACCACCCCTTCCTGCTCTGGTCTAGAAGGAGGCCAGAAACATTTCATAAAATGTTGTACAAAGTATCCCTCCCAGAATCCTGGCTGTTCCAGGGAGGCAGTGCCGGCTGCTCAGTTGAGCATGGCCCTTTGGGTTCACATGGACCTAAGTCCAAATTCTATCTGTGTCCTGAATTGTTCAGCCTGACAAAGAAAAGTAGACACGGGGCCAGGTGCAGTGGCTCATGCCTGTAATCCCAGTTCTGTGGGAGGCCGAGGCAGGCTGATCACCTGAGGTTGGGAGTTTGAGACCAGCCTGACCAACAAGAAAGAAACCCCTTCTCTACTAAAAAACAAAATTAGCCGGGCGTGGTGGCGCATGCCTATAATTCCAGCTACTCGGGAGGCTGAGGCAGGAGAATCACTTGAACCTGGGAGGCGGAGGTTGCGGTGAGCCGAGATGGCACCATTGCACTCCAACATGGGCAACAAGAGCGAAACTCTGTCTCGGGGGGGAAAAAAAAGAAAAAGAAAAAAGAAAAGTAGACACCATGAGGCCTGGTAAGTATTAAGCTGCAGAGAAAACTCATAATTAACTTAAGCGCAGGGGAGTTAGTTGAATGGAGAGCTGCCCCAGTGAAGACCAAAGGCGAGGGATGGTGGGTGATGTGGGTGGCAAAGCTGCATAAGGAAAAGGGATGGACAGTTCAGGCTTGTGGGTATTTGGGAGCTTGGCACAGTTGCTGGACCCCAAGTCTATTTGTTGAGGCTAATAGTACAATAATACAGTCCCAAGTTCACCATTAATTTTTTTTTTTTTGAGATGGAGTCTCGCTCTGTTGCCCAGGCTGGAGTGCAGTGGCGTGATCTCGGCTCACTGCCATCTATCTCCGCCTCCCGGGTTCAAGCGATTCTTCTGCCTCAGCCTCCCAAGTAGCTGGGACTACAGGTGTATGCCACCACGCCTGGCTAATTTTTGTGTTTTTAGAAGAGACGGGTTTCACCATGTTGGACAGGCTGGTCTCGAACTCCTGACCTCGTGATCCACCCACCTCGACCTCCCAAAGTGCTGGGATTACAGGCGTGAGCCACCGCGCCCGGCCTCATCAAATTGTTTTTCTGCTGATTCTGACCTACTTTTCTGAAAGCAGTCACTCAGTCATTCTTTAGGAGCCCTGGCTGCTTGAAATCTTATATCTTCCAGGCCCAGCACCCTGCAGCAAGCAAGTCCAAACCATGTGCTAAGGCTACTAAAAATTCATTTCTCAAACCTCAGCACTACTGATATTTGGGTCCAAATCATTGCTTCTTATATCTATTTATTTATTTATTTTGAGACAGAGTCTTGCTCTATTGCCCAGGCTAGAGTACAGTGGCACGATCTCGGCTCACTGCAATCTCCAACTCCCCGTTCAAGCAATTCTCCTGCCGCAGCCTCCAGAGTAGCTGGGATTACAGGTGCCTGCCACCACACCCGGCTAGTTTATTTGTATTTTTAGTAGAGATGGGGTTTCACCATGTTGTCCAGGCTGGTTTAGAACTCCTGACCTCAAGTGATCTGCCCTCCTCGGCTTCCCAAAGTGCTGGAATTACAGGCGTGAGCCTCCATGCCCAGCCAAAATCATTGTTTCTTATGGGGTGCTATCCTGCAGGGCAACATGGTAGGATGTTTTGCAATATCCCCACCCTCTACCCACCAGATGCCTTGCAGGATCCTCCAATTATGACAATGCAAAATGCCGTAGACATCACCAAATGTCACTGTATGCCAAATTTCCCCCAGTTGCAAACCACTGCATCATACAGTTTTCTCTCCATGAAATGCTTTGCACAGGGCTTCCATGACTGAAGGAATTAATGAAGAAGGGTCTGGGAGAAAAGAAGAAAGCGGAGATTTCTGAAATGGAAGAATTTTCCCTAGAATTATCCAGAACTGACTGTGTAATAAAAGTACACCTTTTCCTTCTTTGCTTAGCTAAGTATTGGGGAAACATTTAAAATTATTAA